CATCAGCGTTCTCAGGTTCCGATCATCCGCCTGCTGCCCGGTATATCCCCTACGTTCCGTCGATCGCTAAAACTTACCCTCGCCGCGAGATTGCCTCTCCCGACCGTCGCGGTTTTAATTACGTGTCCGCGCGCACCTCTGCAATAACTTCGATCAGACGGGGATTTATACACTTATCCCCGCCGTCTCTGTTCTCTCTCCTCCGACGAATCCGACGTCGATTTTCCAGGGCGCGCGAAAATTCACGCGCCACTACATCCCCCGCGGAATAACAGATCGACAAACTTGACCCGGAGTCGTCGAGGGCCGCCATCCCCTGTCGTCCCTTCCCCTCGCCGGCGTCTCGCTCCGGGGGAAGAAACGGCATGAGCGAAAAACCGAAAGCTCGACGTCGCGGAAGTTTAATCGACTGTCCATTAGCAGCGGAATGCATGCGCGTTCCCGTGTATAAACACTGCGAAATACGGCGGCGAAAACGCACGGACGTGTACGACATTACGTTTTATCCCGGAACAAATGGTCTCTAATATATCCGCGCGCACTCTCTCTCTCTCTCTTTCTCTCTTTCTCTCGCGCGCGCCCTTTTTCCCCGTATTTCGCCTTCCGATAAATTCGCTCGCGGACGGAGTAATTGCGCCGGTAAATACTTACATTCTGACGATTAAGCGTCGCAATTGTATCCGCCGCTGCCGGGCGTCCGGCTAATTAACTTAGCGACGAGGTGTTTTTTTAAGATAAGCAGCAATTTCGCAGGATTTCCGCCGTTGGCTGAATCGCGCTCGTTACTCCCGCCGGTTGTTTTTGTCCCGGAATAATTCAACTTCGTGCTTCAATGGATTACCCGCTCGGACGCGCGCGCGCGCGCGCGCACACGTGCGATAAAAAGTCCCGAGCGGAGTCTTTTTCTTCGCACGAGGGACGCGAGAAACGGTTCGGGGATCCTCCGAGTCGCTCCGAAATTCGTCGACCTGAACTGACCCAGATAACGATGGGTAAACACGCGTTATTTACCCATGCGGTATATGCGCGCATGCACGGGATGTTTATAGAGTTCCTATTTATCTTGTTACAATCAGGACACACTTTGCTACCGCCACTCCGAAATTTAAAATTGAAACAGATAGAAGGGGGGGAGGGGGCGATGGGAGGAGGCCCCCGGCGCGGTAACTCGCGCGGCCTGTGATTTATGTAACATCAAGACCGCATCGATGCCCGACATCCATTCTCGGCTCCGGTGTATTTTTCACGGCGCCGTTGTAAATTTTGCAAATTCTATCGCGATAGCGCGACCGTTCCTCGCCCCCTCGTAAGCGCGCGTCTAAATATTACACGTCCCCCGTTGCGTTTCGCCATTAACACGTTGATTATCGCCGCAGTGATTACCTGTGAATGGCGCCATAACCTTGCCGAATCTCACTAATTAATGTATGAAACGTAACCGTGGGTAATATGAAATGTATGGCCGAACAGGGGCCGATGAAACAAGCGACTATACGCAACGTGCATTAATTTACCGTGTCTTTGCTGATTCATATTTTAGCCGGGCATTGAAGTGATCAATGGAAATCAGCGTGGCGGTCAACGTGTTGGTCTGCGCTTACGACGAATGTAATAATTCGCGTAAAAATTTCGCAGGATTTTCCCCGGTACAGTGTGGAACGCAAAACGATTTGAACGCAGCTAAGTTCAGAGCGCAGTTCGATGGTTTAATGGGAGGACGAATTAGTCGGGAATAAGTTCTCTCATTGGACCATTAGCAGCGCTCTGAATTCAGCTGCGTTGAAACCTTTTTGCTTCCATTTATACAGATACTATACATAAATTAGAATGACTAGAATATTCAAAGTTGTCTCGAAAAAGAATATTTCAGTACGATAATCCGTAATCCTATTCTTATTTCAAATATGGGACAAAGGCTCTTTTCCGCGATGTCGATTGGCTGCGCTCTGCATGCCGCTTGCGACTGCCGTGGTTAGAATCGGGCGGTTGAAAATCAAATTAGAAGGTTAATAAACGAAATTATATTTTTATTATTATACTTAATAGCACGCGCGCTGTATATGTGTATATTTACAAAGTATAAATACTGTAAAGCGTTTCATATTTCGTTCAGTCCGTAATATGAGATGGAAAGCAGGAAAAAATCTCGGGGAAAACGATGGTGGTGACCAATTAAAATCTGTTTTCACGTGTCCCATTTAGAATCGTATGTTTGAAACGTTGCGTTTCCAAGCAGAACCTTCGTAGATTTTTCAATTAGAACACGAAAAAAAAAATATTGCTGTTGTAGCGAAACCATCGTTGTTACCGCATATTCGTTGCGACAACGGTAAAATTTGATATGACCAAATTAACGAATTATTCGTAATTAGAACAGAAATAGTTTTGCTGTCAGGATAGGAAATATTCTGCCGAGTGAATTTGTCCTTAGGACACGCTAATTTACTGTTAGAACAAAATAATCTTCTTTCTACACTTACGAATTTGTTTTTACAGCAAAATAATTTGCAGATTTAGCGAAATAATCCTGCGAATGGCAATTAGTACTCTTAACAAATCGTTTCGTTTTCCACACAGTAGCTAATAGATTTTGCTGCGACAGCACGAGATTTGCTGTGCCAGTAAATTCTTTTTCTCCGTTTTCGTCCATAATTATTTTGGGAAAAAAATTGAACCAGATCCCAATTAGATTTTCTAAAAACTTTTTTATATGGAAAAGAAATGCTGTTAAATCAATAGATTTTCCAACAGCACGCGCGATTGCGAATGAATCTTCTCGATTTCAATGGCGATACTATTAAAACTATTGAATTGAATATTGAACTAATACTTTAATTATTGTAACAATACATAATGTAGTAATTTGAATAATATTTGCCATTAACTCAAGAAGATTTGTTGCAATCGCGCTGCTGTTGGAAATCTTATTGATTCAACAGCATTTTTTCCTGTGTATGCGGGTAAGCCTTTAGCCTTTTGTCCCAAACGATAAAATCAAATATCTAACAGAGATCGTTTCCCGCGCCGCCAAAAGCCATAACAACGCTGAAATCTTTGGAATTGCGTCTGGTGGCGCTGGAAACGTTTTCTGCTGGAAAATACGTCACGATTCGGTGCTCGGGGCAACGATTTCAAGGCTTACCATTACACCTATTGTAAATCCGTACTTAGGCCCGGTTTGCACCAAACACCGATTGAGATAAACAACGATCAATTAACAGGATTGCAACGGGGAATTTCCAACTCCTCCTCTTTCTCAGTTTCTTCCGCAACTGAAATTTCAATTCGTGACCCCGTAAATCGTTAATCGTCGCTTCGAGTCCTTAATCGGGGTTCGATGCGACCAGGTTTTGGGGGTCTCGCGGTTAAGTAAATTTTCACGATATCGCGTGTTATCCCGGATATGAGATCCGGCTGATGTACGCTCCTCGAGGACACTATATCCGCGTACACGACGCGCGAGAGTCCAGCGGGGCTCTCTCGCTCGCACTCGTAACGCGCTTCCCCCGTCGCGTACGGGACAGCGCGACACGTGGAAGTCATCAAATCGTCCCGGCGCGCACGCCTGCATCTGTCAAGTTTCATTTGTTCCGCGCACCGCTATCAGTCGTTATTAACCGGCGAGGACTCACAGGATACACTCCGGTATTACGGAGCCGGAGCGCACATACACTTCCGAATCCGCGAGTCTCGTCGTGATTAAAGGCGCTTTCCCCGGCTCGCTCGTGTTTACCCCCTGACCTTTGCGGCAAAGTCGTCCTTCGCCGGCGGGCGGGGACATTTTTCGTCGGCCTCCGAATAGAATTTGCAAAATTCATGGAGAAAGGCACGCGCGAAAAATATATACGACGGCGACGAGAGAACGAGCACCATCGCGGCGGCGTCGGCGCGCGATCTTGATGTTACATAAATTACGGCGCTCCGACGAACCGACGAGCGCACCATCCCTTCTTCTTCTTCTTCTTGTCTTTTGAACACGTACGAATAAATGATTTCCCTCGTGTCCCTTCCCGACCGTCGGTCTCGCTCGAACAAACGACACACCGCCGTCTTTGTCACGTCGTTATATCATTGACATTGTCGCATGAATTCTTCATGTCGTGTGTATTTGCGAGCTGAAGAACGCCGACTCCCGCGACTCGTTTGCCGCGAAAAGTCGCGGAATATTAAGCCTCTGTTTCGCTGAGACGGCTGACGCGGAGATATTTTGACACTTTAAGGACCAACGCGATCGTTTATTCGTCAGAAATTTTTTTATAAATTTTCTACCAGTGTTAGAAAATTAACGAATGCTATATACTTGCAGTTTAAGTCGGTGTGAACAGAAAAATCTTATACTATTTTATAAACAATGACGTAAAGCTTCGAATTATTAATTATTGGAAATGGCCGTGTATAGAGACTTCCTTGATTAATAACTAAAAAAAATTGCGTCATTACCCGCAAAATGGTAAGAGACATTTTTCAAAACGACTTAATCTATACGTATACGGCGGCTGTTGTACCTAATGACAGATTCAAGGTTCGAAGTTCGAGATTTAATATACTGATGTCTATCTCTAAGTACAACAGCTGTCACATATGTATAAATTAGTCCTTTCTGAGCCAAAAAATCCTCTATCATTTTGTAAATAACCGCGCAAATTTTTGAGTTTTATCAGTGAAAAAAGTCTCCATACGTGGCCATGTTCAGTAATTAATAACTCAAAATTTGGCGTAGTTGTTTGCAAAATGGCAGAAAGCTTGTTTCATTCGCATTGATCTAAACTACAAATATATGTACGGATGGGACGACTTGCGTATATTCTATTATTATTATTAGACACCCCATATATTCCATTATTATATCAATTACGAGCCGTCGTGATTCTTCAATTTTTGTTCTGTTATAATTGATACAACTTATGTGTGTTTCCTTGGAAAGTTAAGCTATAAATTCATCGTTTCTTTCCTCGCTGCGATCTTCCTAGTTGAGAAAGGTGGTGAGAAATTCGGCAAAATTAAGAATAGCATTCGTCTTTATTCCTTGGGTCAAGAATGCGCGTAAACATCGACACGACTATACAAACACATACAACTCAGTGTGGCTGCGCTCGGTAGAACATCGCGGGACTTGAGAAATGCTCGGAGACACCGCTGCGATGCCTCTCGGGAACATTAAACAACATCATTAACATCATGAAAGAAAGACATTTCGACGCGGTATATCGGCTTTCGCGATCCGCCGCGTTAGTTTACGTTATGTACATACAAAAGAAAGGCGCGTACAAATTCTTACTTTAATTTAAACGTCGTTCGCCGAAACTGGACGAAGCAACTGAACCCCGACGACAATTTCACGGAAGCCGCAATTCGCGCAATTCCCGCCAATCGCATCGTGATGATGACCTTTCGCGCGCTCGAGACGATTGGATAAGGAATGAGGGGCCGAGTCACACGGAAAAACGTAAGCGGTAAGACGCTAAGCAGCAGGCAAATTGACCAATCACAGTCGATTGCCCGACCGTAACGAGAATGATAATCGAGTATGGTAGGAGTTGGTCAATTTGCTCACCGCTTAAATCTTATGCTGGGTTTACAACGACGGGGTAAGAGTATGTAGTAAGCTAATTCGCCAATTGGATTCTTACAGTCCGAAAATAATCGACTGTAGCTGGTCAATTTGCTCACTGCTTACGTCTTATCGAATATTCTTACCAATAAGCTTCACTGCTTACGTTCTTACATGTGCCTAAGAACTTTCGCATACGAATTGCCATAACCTAAAACACAAAACGTTAATTTCGATGAAAGAACCGATCGGAATGTTGCGTCTTGAGATTTGTGTACTCTAGAAGAGAGGATAGAACACACTCTCTCCCTCTCCGACGATAAATCTGATCGTAAGCGGGAGTAACTAGGATTCGATTGGTTAAAATCCTAGTTACACCGTCACTTCCATCTTCCTCTAGATTACCGAATCTAAAGGAATATCCCAATCGGTGCCTCGGCTGAAAAGATTTACGTATCCTACGTCTGCGGTTACGGCGATTCGCGTGCGAGAGGCCCGATCGTGTCAAGTTCCCGTCGCGTTTCAACTGCAAGAGATGGATGATGATGTGCGCGTGGACGTAAACGGTTGAGACACGACACTTTTTTTTTGATTAAATCCTCACGATCTCACTATGGCACTGAATCGTGACTCTCTGACTGCGGGCTCCGTCCCGATGAAAAATAATAAGCGCGCCTCCGCGAGATAGAACGAGCCACGTTCTGACTGACTGACGTCACACGACTTTATCTACATGTCTCTCCGAGTCCGAATGCATCACCTGCCGTCGCGATCGACACATTTAATATTACACATACATCGGTGTGACACGACGTGCCCCTCTCTCTCTCTCTCTCTCTTACCGTTTTCTCGCTTTCGTCGTTACCTCTTTCTCCCCCCTCTTTTACACACAATAATATCATGACACATTCGTACACGCTACTATTTACAAATCATCGTGCTATCTATAGATTGACAACGAGCAATCACCGAGAGAGTAGTAAATAGTAACACTTCGTATTTATTACTGAGTCCAGGGCGGGCGAAAATATCGGTCGAGGTCGCTCGAGGAACCGCGCGCACAATCTCGTGGAGTCGTGGACACTCGGACACGTTCCTCAGCTTCTTCCGCTTCTTCTTTGTTGTACGATTCGGGAATATATTTATTTATCACGTACATGTACACCACTCGCCACGGGGACGTGCCACTTCGATATCGAGCGTTATTCTCTCACGCCCCTTGTGATGCCTACGTATCTACATTTCGGTACTTATTCGGTACTAGGCTGGCCGCTCGGATCAAGATTTCGTCGTCGTCGGCGTATACGTTTGCACACGCCGTAGAGCAGCACCAATCGTTACAAGCAGCACCAATCGTTAATAAACGCGAAAATGCGGCCGGGAGGATCGGCGAAGCCCCTCGGGAACGGCTTCGCCGGTTCTGTCCCATATTTCTTTTCCTTCCTTATTTTTTGATTGATTCTTCAAACATGCGTAACTTAACGTCCGACCTTATCGCTTATCGTGGAAATTTAGATTGGAACAATTTCTCGTAACGTAAAGAGTAACTAACGAATCGTCGACTCGATGTAACAGTCTCGCGAAATAACATAAATATGCTCATTCATTTCGCACGGCTAAACTACGGATCGACTTCAATTCATTCGGACGACAGTCACTGAAGCGCGCCGATTGGTGTAAAGTAAATTGCAATCCGCCAAAGTAACACACGCGTGTATAAATATATCTAAAAACATAACGATGTATCGACACAAATATCACTCGGGCACTCCGGTGGAAAGGAAACGGTTGTCGAATTACTTGAGATATGCGCGGTCTTCTCGGTGTCGATCTGCATGATCGCGTCCGGCTGATTATTTAATTAGTTCATTATCTAGATAACTATAGTTGCAGCTTGTGCGCACTGTGAGTAATTTTATAATGTAGGAACCGTTCGAGAGCGGTGACCGTGTGAGCCGCCGCCTCGAAGTGACTCGATTGTGATTTTGCGTGTCTCTCTCTCTCTCTCTCTCTCTCTCTCGTGCGTTTTGAATACATTTTTTGCGCCCCGCTCTTACTCGCCGGTGCTTCTGTCTCGCTGTCCTCAGGACCAAAAATTCGTCCAGGCTTGAGCTACGTTTGAGCTGGACTAGTGTTCACAACGGCAAGGTCGTTGTTCGCGAATAGCCACACAGAGTACGAACGTACGAATTGCGTGCCGCGCGCGCGACGCGTCGGCCGCTCGCTCGCGCGCGCGCTGCCAATTTAACGAGTCGAAGATTGACTCTCGAATGCGAAAGAAAATCTAGTAGGAATTATATTCACGAACAGGTACTCACTGCGTGTGTAATAACTACACCGTCGTAAATTATTCGAAAATACCTCACTGAGCTTATATGCGCCTCTGACTAGATTCATGCGTACCTCGAAAATCCCCGACGGAAATGACATGCTTATTATAAATGGCGAGATTCGCTGCGCACTCCGCTCTGCCGGAACGGAAAAAAAAAAAGAAGAAGAAGAACTGTCAAGCGCTTCTCGTAAAAATTCACGTGAGCTTGTAATGAGCAATATTTGATTGGCTGGTCGATGTAAATCCCACGCAGCTCGGTATAAATGCACTTCTCGTCCGCGAATTAAATAATTTATGTGGTTTTCGCGAGAACACACGCATTCACACAGATGCAAATTACTTGAGAGATCTCGTGCGCTGATCCGACGTCCCGTTCAGCGTCGGGTTTGAAAAAGAAAGAGGGAATTTATCCGCGATTCCGCGGGGAAATGTAATAACGTCTCGCGTTGATTTCGCGAATGCGCCGTGCGAGCGCGACGTAAGACATGCACGATTATTGTCGGGGAAAGTAAAGCTCACTGGGAATTTCTACACACGCGAGGTTACGTGAATGCGCACGAATCTCTTTCTCCGCGTCTACAACGTCTAACGATGAGATCTTCTCGCAGAACTCGCAAGAAGAAACAATAATATTTAAATACTGAACAGTACGATAACGCCGCATAAAACTTAGTTTCATGCTGTGCTCGCTATTGCTACCAAAAAGCGGCGATCATCTCTCTCTCTCTCTCTCTCTTCCTCCAATTGAAGCTCAAATATCCTCAGGATTTATATTTAAACGCCACTAATAAACGCGTATTGCATGATTCGCGCTCGAGTATAGTCGCCACGCTTTTTCCCTAAAGTACACACGGTCGATCTCACGCAGCTTCCTCCTTTGTCGAGAGCCGCAATCCTTTATACAACATCCGCCCGAAATCCACCGACTGTCCTTCCAGCCGCAGCTTTCGCGACAAATTTTTGCAATCGATTGTAATATCTAACAACAAAAAAGCATCCAACGAATCGCTCTTCCTCTCGAATTCATCGCGTTCGGCGTTATAGATATCTTCTATTGAACAATGATAAACCCAAACTCAAAGGCCCATCTCTCGGGATAAAATCGAGAATGAAATCAATCGAAGAACCGAGATTTCGTTTATTCTTATTATATACAAGCTCCGGCTCGATTCCAGCCGGAAATCATCAACTTTCGACGCTAATTCCGCGAATGCCGGTGGCCCGGATCGTTTAAACAGTTAATCTTTAGTTGGTCTTTCTTAGTTGGTCCTCTAGAATATGTCATTGTCCGCGCTACAATTGAAAGATCACTCGGTGGCTCGGGGATCATCATTACCGTATATACACCGACTCGCACTCCCGACGCACGTTTCGTGGCAGATGCAATACTGATTCTCGCCTCGAATTCGCGCCACGTGCGCCTTCCCGGATCGGATCCGAACGAACGGACGAAACTAGGAGCCAGGTGACTCTCCGTCGTGCTAAATGTGCGCAGAGAATTGAGTTTTCAACAAGGAAAGAAGTTCGGTTGAATCAACCATGACAATGAACAAATCGAATGCGTCTCGATCGAAGGGGAAAAAAAAACAAACCCCGGAGTTCTTAGCCCTAAGAACCGAACTTGGTTCACACGGAGGAAATATTGTAGTACGAATCACCACGAAAGTTTTTAACGTTGGACCACATCGGAATTTATAACTGAAATTATGATGCAATATTGAGTAAATGCGCTTCATTGTAAACGACAAATTATAACACATAATAATTTCAGTCATAATTCCGGTACGAGCGTAGCCAAATTTCGCGGTAATTATTCCCGCAATATTTCCTCCGTGCGACAAGAGCCATAAATTCTGTTGTCTTCGAAAACACCGGAACCGCGTTCGATTCGTTCACCGTCACGCATCGGCCTTTCTTCTCCGTGTGGACGAACGAACGCGTAATTGCACCTGTTCCCGTGATCACGCGCTAGCTACATCACTCCCTGACATCATCCCCACTTACAGTCTCCTCAAGCTCTAACGAAACATCACACCGCACTCGTCACCGAAGAGTATTTTCTCACCGCGCGACCCCGCGCGAGCCTGCCACGGCTGTCCACGCGGGCTCACCCCTCGTGTTTCTCGCCTGAGCTGCCCGTCCGAAAAAGAAATGTATACGAAACGTTATCTTGGAAGATTCGACAATTAGGCACACAGACTGCCCTTCCTCGAGAAACAAAGAAGAGAAGAGAAAAGAGTACCACCGCGCGAGGTGCGAACTCCCCGGAGGATCCTCGCCGCCTCGAAGGCAACCCCGCAGCATTTCGCTAGGATCGCATTTGCGCGGGAATCGCACACAGTCTCACACGCACTCCGAGTCGCGCTCTCGGCCCTCTCGGAGGTAAACGAGAGCGGAGGATGTATCGCGTCTCTCCTCTCCCGGAGAGGACTCATCAACGCACCTCCTCCCCGGGCGGCTCGAGTGGCTTCGCGAAACGAGGACGCGCCGTCCAGCTCTCGGATGCGCGTCATCTCGCTCTCGTGGACGCGAGCGCGCTCCCTTCACGTTGCTGTCCGCCCCTTCCCCTCCCCATCGGCAATATTCTATCATGGAAGAATCGGAATCGTTTCTCTTTTTCTTTCTTTTCTCCTTTCCGTGGAAATTGAGCAACGTGTCGGGCGGACTCACGCGCGCGCGCACGTACGCGCACGCGACGCACGTACGCGCGCGCACGGAACTCCCCGTTTAACCGCCGGAAGAGCCTCTTACGAACGTTTCCCAGGGGCCGGCCGCTCTTCAGGTGTTGCGGAAATTCTGGGAGCGCGCGAGGTCGTGCTCGCGCCACGAGCTGGTCGTGCACACGCCCTCGCCCCGCCACCACTCGTTCACGTCCTTATAGTACTTAGGCGGACGGTCGTCGTGCAGCATCGCGCACATCCGGCACCAGAAGTACGTGTTGATGAACTCGCCGGTGCCCTTCCAGCGGAAGTACGAGTTGTACAGCTCGTCGTCGCGGTCCAGCCGGTGCAGGTACTCGGCCAGCTCCCTCGGCGACTCGAACTCGTCCACGTGGATGTAGGAGCGGTACGGCGCGCTGTGCGCGTAGTCCGTCGGGTGGGCGCCCATCACGATCGGCAGGACGTTGTGCCTGTGTTTGTTTTTTTTTTTNNTTTTTTTTTTTTTTTTTTCCGGACAGAGAGAAAGAGGCAGACCGATAATTCTTGATGAGGGCGGTAATTAGACCGGGAGCGGTCGCAGGCGAGTCGCCCGCCCGGTCGATCCGAGACGGCTCGCCTATCGGGATCTTAATTAAATCCGCGCGAATCGCACGCGTTCCTGTCCGCGCAGCCGAGGGAGATTATTAGGTAACGCGCAGTTGGCACGCGACCGCCGAGATGCCGCGGAATCGCCGGGTCGCCGACCTCCCGCAGAAGAGAACGTTCGGTCGAACATTCGGCCGGCCGTTTCGTTCGCGAAGTTAACGATCTGACGAATAATTACGGCGATAAGTGGGAAACACGTGAGAAGCAAACCCTGTCACAAGTCTGTTAAAACGTTTGCCCGTGTCGTGTAATACGTTCTCCACTACGCGTAGAAAAAGATCCACCGCGTACGAGTAAATGTTATTCGTTTTCGAGTATCTTGTAAGTTTAAATATCCGCTAATGTATTGTAAATCCATCATAAGCAAGATTGATTTAAAATCTATTCTGAATTCTAATAAGTTTAATATCTTAATATGGTCAATTAAGAGTATTGAATTAAAACAAACTTCGGTTTCGATTCGGATGAAGCGAACTCAACTTTTCCTCGATAAAGTTTATAATATTCTCGGAGAGGGAACAAATCCTCCTCTTGAGCGGGATGAGCCGTTCGCAAATTTAGGATGAGTATATTTTAAGATTATCATTATGAAAAAATATTCTTGGTTGAAGAGAATTATTACTTTTAGAAGAATGAAGAAAACTGAATTATCGCTTTCCTCAACAATATAATGATATTTTTCTCCGTGTACGTATCGTACTCTCGTCTCTATAAGCGATACTATATTATCGGTTTTCTTTTTTTTATGTAAAAAGAGAAATTTTTCCATATATATATAAACAAATAAATAAATCGAATGAGGTCTGTTTGTTTAAGCTGAACTAATGCTGCATCGGAACTTCGTTCCTTTTCTCTTCAACGCTACACAGTCAAAAACATTTTGTGCTAAATTCAGCCCTCGTTAGAATGTTTACGTTACATTTTTAACATGTCCGTATGTTAATTTGACATATTGTGTTTATGTTATCTCAATATATTTCGTGTCGAGTCGATATTCAACATATGTTAAAATATCAGCACATTTCGTATTTCACTGTCGACCAACATATTACGAATGTTAATTTTGTGTGAACTTTCGGCATAATATTGGTGTTATTTTTCAACATACACACCTTCCTTTAAATTAGCACAGAAATTTGCGTGGACCGTCCGGGACGATGCGAAACGCGTTAAATTTAGCAGAAAATCTTTCACTGTGTAGATTATACACTCGTTTCGCTCTAACGGCTCTAAAAGCAAAAAATGCGGTCTAGTTCGGCTAAAACGAAAAAAACTTATAGCGGCAGCCGGCTCGTGAAAAGGTTAAAATATCGCGGCCGGTAATCCGCGGCCGGAATTCGCGTGGGTCGGCGAGAAAGCAAGCGAGAAGCATCACCGAGTGCGTACCCGAGTCCGTTGACGAAGAACTTCTCCGTGATGTAGTCCCTGCAGTTGGAGTTCTCGAACGCGAGGTAGAACTTGTAGTCCTCGTCGAGCATGTCGAAGCAGGTCTGCGACTGCGAGCGCGGACAGCGCAAGCTGCCGCACGCGCCGTAGATGTCCACCTGGATGTATTTCGAGAGCTCCCGGGCGTAATGCATGCGTTGATTTCGGGGATGGCAGTTGGAAACGAACCAGGCGACCTGATTGAACAGCAAGAGCGGAAGAGCGCGAGCGGTCAGAAGGTTCGATTACGTTCGTCCTCGTGTGCGCGACGGACGCGGCAAAAGCGAGCGTCAATCTATCTTTGTTTCCCGTTGGATGTTGAATAAAGATAGAATGACGTTCGCGTCGTTGCGAGCGTTAAGTGACACCTGCCCAAAAGTAAGTTGCGCCGCCGCAAAAACGCGCGGGTCCCCGCGGATGGACATCGGATTGTGCGATGGTTCCCAATTTGTCACACAGAAGAAAATATTAGATTCAGGTAAATAATTAATTAATTAATTATTTACTCCAATATTTGTTAGCAAGGTTTTATTTGGACTTAAGTAGCTTTACTCCGATGAAGTAAATATTTTACTTGCACTGATAAAGAAAGCTGTTGGATCTGCAAAATCAGCGATCGCCCTCGTTCAAAGAAATATGTCCGCCCAACAAATTATGTATTGGCGCAACAATATGTTGCGTTGATATAGTTGCTGACCAAATCGCAATCGTTTACTCAACCGGTAACTCATTAGAAGAGTTATACAATATTTTCAGCGGACTAAACTTTGGGTTTAAAAACATGGTGTCCATTTAAGCAAAATTTCGTTGGTTTAGCTACATTTTTTTTCTCAGTGTGCAAACAATTTATTTGGAAAATATTTTATTTGGATCAAATAAATATTTCCTGAGGAATATTGGAGGATAAATTATTTACTTGGATCTAGCATTTTCTTTTCTGTTCTGGTAAAATGAAACGATTCGACTGGGACGATGCAGAGGTTCGTTCGTTTTTTAATCAATTCCTCCCTCAGAAATTCCAGGATTTCTACGGGCACAGGATCGTACAACTATCGGAGAGACAGCAAGTAATTGAACAAAACAGCGCATATTTAATTAATTGATTGTGTATTTTAAAATAAATAAACATTACATGTATATTTTGATTAAAAAGCGCAACGGACTTTTGCATCAACAAAATCTTCCCATGTCGTTGTAATTTGATGAAGAAATATAGTGTATGCGAAATGCGGCGGATCATAAATCAAAGCGGCGCATGTAATGTTGTATCGCAAATTATAACGACATAAAATAGAATTATTTCATTTCACCTGAAAAGTCCGCAATTATTTATTGCACAATCCAATATGCGACTCACGATTCTCCGGGGCAAATCTTTCTTCGAGAGTCTTCTCAATTTTCTTATTCCTTATATTATTTTTATTTTTCCACTTGCGTCGCGTACACTGAAAAAAAAATACTTAAAAATTTATTTGTGAGATGTAAGATTTACTTCACGGAAATTTCGTCTTATTTCTGTGAAATAAATCTTGTATCCCACAAATCAAATTTTAAGTACTTTTTCCTTAGAGTAAAGCGATATATCTATATTCCCGTTGCTAGTCGCCAGTACTCTTATTTCACAGAAAGAAGAGACGTCACTCCAGTTGACGACGAGGAATAATTTTAAGTTCGCGACAAGAATATTTATCGTGCATAGAGAAAAAGGTTTCTTTAGATTTAGTATTTCTATTTATTCGACTAAAATCTGTTTCGCTGAAACAACATGTACGAAATATTATTTGTCCGAGTACAAATTTTATTGTCTCATTCAAGAAAACTCGATTATTTAACAGAAAGAACGCTATTATTGGAAACAATATCATTTAACCGAATCAAATATTATTCGGTTACAATAAATATGTGAAACGAAGCAAATCATTTCTTTGTAAGAAAATTATCTTTCGTCCCGAGCAAACTTTTTAATCAAGATAAAGATACATATTCGTTGAAGAATCTAACAATCGTACTTATTGATCGAAACGCATGCCAATGATGACATTTGTTTGGATGCGGTGAAATTTGCCAAATCTGAAGAAATCTTTTTCTCAGTATGGCGACTCCCGATTGACTCCCCTCGCCTTACCTTCTTCGTCTTGTTGGCCGCGTAGTTAAACGTTTGCGGGATCTGCGTGACACTGGCGTCGTAATATTGCCACCTCTCGTAGGGTGCCACTATGTCGCTGTCACGTCGATATGTGGCTGTCCAGTTGATAAGGGCGTTCTTCACACTCTGCGTGTGGTAAGGGCATTCTAAAAAATACAGCATCCACACCTGCGAAAAATCAGCGGGTTTTTCAGCGTGTCGTCGCCGGATCGACAACGGATCCTCTTTTCGTCTGTCTGTCGCGCGCGATATGAACGTAGCTTTACGATCAGCGGAAAGCCGATCATCGGAGCGAAAGCGACGTGATTTCTCCCGCCCCGTAGAACGTAGAGATATTAATCATTGTTGCATCGCGTACCTGATTGTGCGGCCGTCGTCCCACGTGCGTGATGTAATCCTTAAATAGAATGAGATCGGCCTCGTCCGGATTGTCGCGGACGATCGTGCAGGTATTCACCGGGCAGCGCTGCTGGAAGAAAATGTCAGGACCGGCTTTGGCCTCGGACATACCATGAGGAACCATTATCTTCTTCAGAGGATGCTCGCCGCTCGTTCTATTGTAGTCGGGCGGCACGAACATCAGCTGCAACGATAGTTACGACATTAGTACACCGTTACCTTACCGAATGGTTTAATCGAATATTTCAGCATTAAAGATCACCGCCCATTCCGCGTATCAGATGTCCGAAGAAACCCTGAGAAACCCGTTCACTTGACTCGAGCGAAATTCTTGCCCGGGCAAACAAACGCTTTGGTTGTGAGAATCAAATTTTGATTTTTACAATTAAAATATTTGCTACTTGTCAACTAAATGGGCTCCTCAGTGTACAGTTAAAAAATAAAACAAAAAATAAAATAGCCACAAATCATCTTCGTTGTGATTCGTGTGTAAAATTACAGGGACGCCTTTCCTCCGTGAAATATTCGGCGAGAGGCGAAATTTTCTGTTAACGTTAAACACTTCGAAAGTGCAAAATTCGTGAACGTCGAGCTTTAGTTTTAACTCGGACAATTTGGATGATCAATTTTCAGTTTCAATTTGGCGATAAAATACTGATGTAAGAAAAAGGTCGTTTGTGGTCCGACTCGTGCAAGTTGGTGCAAATGTTCGTACGACTGCACGATTATTACCTGATTCGTCACGCGATCATCGTAAGCGTTCTCCTCCGGCCACAATTGAGCCAGCCTTCGGCCGGTACTGCGGGCTTTTATCGCCGGATAAGGTCTCCTGGACCCTCCTTTCATGTACCAAGGCCTTCGCGACGGATCCAACGAGTCTATCGCGTTCTCGCCGAAGTTGGCGGTTCCATTTACATTCGATACCTTTCAACGAGAAAGAGACGTGCGTAAGCGAAAATCAAGCGATCGGTGGATCCTTACATCGCACTGCCAGTCGTCGCAGCAACTGATGAAACGATATCGCCACGCGCGCTACGCTACCGTCACCTGTTCCCGTGGTACGCTAATTTAGCGAGCAACATCGCGTCCAATTAATTTTATAATGCTCCGCGACATCGATAATGACGCACCGGTGTCAATAACCGAGTCGACCTATATCTTGTGCACGCTACTCGTAGCACTTAAGTAATCGCATGTATGCTTATCTGAGACTCGTCCGAAATGAATCTGACAAGGCGAAATTAATTCGGTGATTAGATACGGTTCGAAATTGCTCTGTATTTTGTCTGACCAAAAAAGAAAGATGGATTTTAACGAGCCTGTCGAAGCTGGGGCACGAATTTGTTTTAATGCTCTTAAATATTAATATATTATCAATATTAATATGACTCGTGGAAGGATAACGTTTATCTTGGCTGTATGTTAACACACGTGCCGGATAATTCTCACAGTTCACGTGCGCGGAAAATAAATCTTCCAGCCGGGTGAATCCTTTAATTTCCCGAATTTTATGTAATCCTCCGTTATAAACGTTCCTGAATTTTTTTTTTTTTTAGATTTGAATCCGAATTTTCCGCACGTGAGCTGGGGAATTATCCGGCACGTGTGTTGACATGCGGCCAAAATAAACTTCATCCTCCCGCAGATATATCAACACCTTGACTGACGGAAACGCAATACTGCGTTCGCAAAAAGTGGCCCAAATTGCCGCAATATTGCGTTTTTATATTTCCGGTAGCGCGATATTTCTAAAAGCCACTCAAGGTTTTCGGAGTCGCCTTATTCAGTGGTGAACTTAAAAATTCAAAATGGCTGGACGTAATACGACCGACCTGACATTGAGAAAAATATATTTACCTCGTATTCGTAAACAGTGACCTAAAAAACTTCTAAATATAGAATTTTAATGACATTGCTTGACTCTTGAAAATTCATTTTTTGCTTAAGCACTTTTGCGAAATTCAGCTTATCAGAATGAAGAGGCTAATATTGATAGTATATTAATATTTAATTAGCATTAATATACAACCGTGTTTCAACTTCGACAGGCTCATTAAAAAGTTTCTCTTTTTAAATTCTTCCTTACGCTCGATTACGCCATCGTTACGCTTGGCCAGTCACACATGAAAATAGTTTCTGTATTATCTACCTTTCGTACTACTTGCTCGGCAAAATTGTAAATGCATGCGACTAATTGAGCGATAGCTGATGCCAAGCGTGGTATTGTGCGTGCGTGAAACACAAAAGCGTCGTTTGTCCCGCCATGTATTTTCGTCCGATGTAACAAACACGTAACAGCGAAATAGTATGAAATCTCAATGGAAGGCCTTCTCATCCCCGATTGAACTGATTGAAAGATAAGTCGATATCTCGCTACAGGCAGCTGAGCTATTAAAGCTATCCTAACCGTATACCGTGTGACATGAGAGTTCTCTATCGTCTAGATACGGTAAAATATGAGTCGCCCGTGCAACTTCTCTTCTACCGATTAGCCGGAAGCGCCGGATACTCAGCGGAATAAACAAGTTATTATATAGTGTTCCGAATAAGCTCCGTCGGGTCCTACGAAATATCTGGACAAACTGATAACTGTATCTCCGAAACTCATTTAAATTCACCGATATCGGGGCATCGTTTCCGCTTAATTTACTCCCGACGGCCGAAGTTCGTGAACATTGTTATTATTCATATTTTATTCGGAACATTACAGCAACACTCGCTACCGCACACTTGACCATAGATCGCAGAATGTTAGCGCTGCCGGTGAGTCAGCCGGTAAAGAGGAGGTCGCGAAGTTCACGAAGGGAACGTTCGCTCCGTACTTGGAGGAAGGCGCGAGAAGAACAAGCGAGGGACGACACACGGGAAAAGCATGATCGCTATTACCAGACAGGATCACATCGGATTCTCTCGGAATGCGTCCGAGAGAATATCATGTTGATTCGATCGATCACTTTTCCTTTCCCTCTGCAATACTTTTCCGTGCACACGTCGTCCTTGTCTTTCTTTTTTTAGTGATTAATAATTCACGCTACGGTCTAATGACTGTACCTCGGACGGAAGTCTGTTCTTCACTCGCTCCCGAGTGCGTAATACTCGCATGGTCGGCTTCTTCGATTTCAAAGGCCAATCGGGTTTCATCTGCGAGCGAAATTTATCTTTTATTCCCTTAGCCATCAACTATTTTGACGTCATTTGCACCGCTTACGCCGCGCGTTTCCCTCTTTCTCTCGGCCTTTATTGTACTAATCCCGAGAAAAACCTATTCGCACGGTTGCAATATCACCGATATTCACGATAAAACGACAAATTTGACGGCGGATTTTCTATTCAATGTGTCAAACTCCGCGATATCGAACGACTGGATATTACGTCGGCAAAAAGTTCACGTTAATATACGCGTCGCGAGATAATACTTAATGATTGACACGTCGCGCGTCCCCTCCCCCCCCCCCCCCCC